TGACCCCAATCTCTACAAATGCTTTAGAAGAAGTATATTAAATATGCAAGTCTAGATGTTTGTACAGGATACAGAATGTCCATTATACTACATGGTCCATAGTCTTCAGAGTTGGGCAATTTCATTTTTAAAGATGTTTCTGAAACTGATTTTGGAATGGTATTTTTGTGAGTTTATTTTGGTAAGATCAATATGCCAGTGCTGAGCAAAGGCTGAGAGGAACAAATGTATAAAAAGTGAAATAAATTATTTTGGATCCATGAAATAAGGCTACCCACCCCCAAGGTAAGAAATTATTTTATCTACTTCCAAGGTGCAGTTCTTTTTAAGGAAAACCTTCTGTCAGGTTTTAACGAAAATCTATTGCTGGCACCAGATGATACCAAGTTCTCATTGCTTTTGGAAACAGCTCTGGAGTTTTATTTTCCACATAAATAGTAACCAGCTTATAAATGATTGGTTTTTTATTGAGGAAGGATTCCTGTGTAGAAATGCACCGTATGTGTTCAGAATTAAAGGAAATTTCAGGATAGCTAGAGGTCAGGACCCAAATTAGGTCTTCCCCTGTCCTGTGGATCCTTTTGGAACTGTAACTTGACAGACGTAAAACATGTTTGTTTGTTTTTCATGCACACTATAATTGGCTCTTTTGAGTAAGAGTGACATTCTTGCTTTATATCCTTTCACATCTGAAATGAATGAATAATATAAGTGAATCCAGTTAAAGTGCAGTTTGAATATAAAGCTTGGCTAGATTAAAATGTATAGTATATTAAAACCAAACTGCAAGCCTCTGTGTGTAACGTAGCATTCTGTCAATCTTCCAAGTGCTGCGGTCTTTCCCCTTATGAACTTTGAATCAGTCCACAGAGACATGTTTATATACCATGTAGCCTTTTTTCCCCATTTTTATCAACTATGTTACTAGGATATCACATAAAAAAATCATAGGATAAATAGGTTCTGTGGAAATTAGAGGTGTTATTTTGTACGTAATTCCTTTCTCACCAGACGAAAGTCCCATAATGTGTGTAGTGGGAAGTTATGCATTTTTGAGATTTGGGTAGATAGGACTATACTTCATAAAAATTGAAAGCTGACTCTTCTCGCTGTGTAGGACTCTTCTTTCCATTAAAGTTGGAAGTATGCAAAACTTCTTTAATGAAGAAACTCTAGCCCTATGTATATTTAAAGTGATTTCTTGATTCATAGTTCTTTAATACTTTCATATTTAATATTTCCTCTGAGGATTCACTGGTGATTTCTTCACTGAAACATTTGTGTGAGACATTGGTGCAGACACATGAGAGTGAAGCTCCTTTAAACCAAATGAAAAGAATATAGCATAATCCCTTGTCTCAGGAATAAGTCTTTTTTAAAGGAAGATAGTCTCACTTTATATATTGGTACCAATAGGGTTACATATTTCTAGTTTCAAAAAAGATGAAATCTGTTGGGGGGATAATATGAGTGTGGGGAAGACCGTAATATGCCCATGACCTGCCCCTGCCTCTGCCCCTCACTCTCAAGCCACAGCCCACACAGCCCTGCTGCTGCCCCTCACTCCACCCAACCCCCAGATCATGCTGGTACCCCTCACTCCAGACCCACAGCCCCTGTGGCACTGCCTGTGCCATACATTCTTGACCCACAGTCCTGCCCCCTCGCCCCCACCCCCGGTGCCCCTCACTTTCAAACCACAGCCCCCTGCCCCTCCCAGCCCTCACTCCCAACCTACAGCTCCCTGCTCTCCCCAGCCTTGCAGCATCTCCCAGCTTCCCTGCCACTGCAAGCACAGACACTGCTGCAGCTCCAGCATGCTGTGTGCCCTGCCACCAATCGCCCTCCCTCCTCTGCTCCCCCCAGTGCCAAGCAGCTCCTTGCTAGGACAAACTGGAAAGTGCAAGGAAAAACTTTGATGCTGAGCAGAGGCAGAGCAAAGTCCTGGACATTTGTTGATATTTAAAAAAAAACTGCTCTGACAGAGATGGAAAAATCCAAAAAGAGGACATGTCTGGGAAAACCTAGACATATGGTAACCCTAGGTACCAATTTCTTGTGAGCTTCAATAGTAAATCTCTGCAGAAGGCTGAAAAAGATGAGGGCAAATGACTAGAGATATGTGAAAGACCGAATTTCCATTTGGGGGGAAGCTCTGCAGGTTCTAAAATTGTTTTCACTATGAATTGGACTAAATAAAAACATTTAAAATTCCTTTGAAAGTGGAACAAACCTACTGAAATAAAACAAAAACACCAAAGATTGGAACAAGACCATTTTTTTTAAATATCCTGTAAAATTATTTTTTCTTCCAAAACAGAATTCAGTCAAAATCAGCACATTCTCCTGGAAAGTGGCAATTGTACAGGAAAGGTATTTTCCAGTGACCTTCCAGGAAAGGTATTTTCCAGTGAATTTTCCTGCTGGAAAATTTTGATCAGCCCTACAAGTTAGGCTTAATAGAAACTGGAGAGAGACATTTTCATATGGATACATTTTTGAGAAAGCAAGCCAAGTATTGGTTAAAATGAGCTGACAGCAGGTTAGCTCCAAGATATAGATCATAAAGTGGGAAAATAAAATGAAGGTGGTTAAAAAAATGTACCCTGAAAATGTTATTTTAAGCCTAAAATTCCCCATTCCCTGAAGGAACCTGAAGAAAGAAAGAAAGTGAAGGACTAGGAATGTAAAAGTCCATAATTACATTCAAGATATTTGAGTGTCCCAGGAAAGAATAGCTGGCAAACTGGAAAAGAGCTCGTTCATTAATTAATCTAGTTTCCAACATTAGATTTTATGAAACTGGGTTTTATCACTGTTAGTTCAGTGTATTTCCAAAGGGACCTTGAACAGAGCAGTCCTTCACTCTGAAAAATAATAATTTTTTCCCAATAGAAAGATGATACTAATATGTAATTACAGTTCTTGAAGTTTAATTTGCTTTCCTGTGATTCTGTTACACTGATTAATAATAAAGGCAGTTGTTCTGCTTTTTTGGTGATGCCTTAGAACTGCAAAATGTGATTTAACTTCATATTATCATTGTTTCTTTCAGCTACATGAGCACAGATGTGGCAATGAGTCTAAAAGGAGACTGTTCACTTTAGGCCAACATTTTAAAAGATCTTAAATAGAAAATAACATGAAATAAAATATTGCTGATTTACTTACGTTGTCTCACGGGGATCTGATAACTAAATCATAGAAGGCTTGTCTATACTTGCTGGTACAGCTATACAGGCAACTCCATCTAGTGGAGATGCAGCTTATAGGCTAGGGACAGAAATTACATATAAACTGGCTTAAGTAATTGGAAACTGATTTAAACCTGTAACACAGCAGAAGTTCAGTGCACATAAACCACTTTCAAAATAGCCAAAACTGGTTTAAGATGAACCTGGATGGATGTAGTATCAGACTTAACTGATTTAGATTAAACAGGTTTATGGCACTTCTGTCCCTGGTCTCTTCCTCATTCAAGTTAACTTACAGTCCCCCAGCTTCCCTGGATGCTTTGCAGCTCTTGGTTATGCTGCCTGCTCCAGTGGAGCAAGGCTGGCTGCCCCTAGCTGTCACAGAGCTGAGGCACTAATGCCTCTGCTCCACAGCCCGCTCTCTGCCTGGGCCTGTCAGCCCCACAGGACAGGAGGGCAGAGGAACAGATGCCCAGGCCTCCCTAACTGCAGGCTGTACACTAAGTGGAGGAAAAGCCCCTGTGGTGGAGACTTTATGCTCCCTGCCCTCTCCGCAGCCTCCACCTCCTCAGTCCTGCCCTCTCCTCAGCCTCCACCTCCTAGAGGGGGAACATACCCTACCTGTCTGGAACTCACTCCCCCTGCCAGGGTCTGCTGGCAGGAGCGGGGAAGTCCCCACCTGGGAGCTTTCCACCTGCCCCCCACAGCTCTGAGCCAAGCTGGGATTGGCTCAGACCCTCTATCTCCTCAGCCATCCACCTCTGAGGAGAGGGGTAGGTAGGTGGGAATGCACATCCCCAGCCAAAGTCTGCTCGGTGTTGTGGGGGGGAGAAGCACCCAGCAGGGGGCTTTTTGCCCCCACCACAACTCCAGTTGGGCTGGGATTGGTCCAGCCCTGCCTCCTCCCCAGCCCTCTGCTTCTCAGTGAGGTTGCGGGGGTGGGGGGCAGGGGATGCGAACCGCCCTATCCCCTGCACTGGCTTCCCCAGCTGGGGGCTGCCCAGCACAGAAGGCAAAGCACCCACCTGGGGGCTTTTCATCTCCTGGAAGCTCAGAGGTGGGCTGGGATCACATCAGCCTTGCCCCCTCCTCAGCCTTCCCCTGGCTGGGGAAGGAGTAAGGCTGAGGCAGTCCCAGCCCACCTCTGAGCTATGGGGAGATAAAAATCCCTCAGTTGGATGCTTTCCTCCTGTGCCTGGTAGACCCCAGTGTGGGGGGCTGATGCTGGTCCAGGGAGGTGCATTCCCACTCCCCCTTGGAGGCAAGGGCTGAGGAAGGGGCGAGGCTGGAGCATTCCCAGCCTGGCTCGAGCTGTGGGGAGGTGAAATGTCCCTCAGGTGGGTGCTTCCCCCTGTGTGGGGCAGACCCTAGCTGGGAGGGTGAGTGGGGGCGGGGGGCACAGTAGTAGAGTTGGAGGGGATTTAACAGCAGCCTTCACCTACCTGAAGGGGGGTTCAAAAGAGGATGGTGCTGGACTGTTCTCAGTGCTGACAAATGACAGAACAAGGAGCAATGGTCTTAAGTTGCAGTAAGGGAAGTTTAGGTTAGATATTAGGAAGAATTTTCTCCCCAGGAGGGTAGCGAAACACTGGAACAGGTTACCCAGAGAGGTGGTGGAAGCTCCATCCTTGGAGGTTTTCAAGACCCGGCTAGACAAAGCTTTGGCTGGGATGGTCCTGCTTTGAGCAGAGGGTTGAATTAAATGACTTCCCGAGCTCCCTTCCAACCCTTATTTTCTATGAGTTTATGATTATTATATAATCATATATATAATGTGACCTACAATACTTTTTTTTCTATTCTTAGACTACAGATCTCTTCATGACTTTGGTGTTTGAACTTCGAAGTCTCTCCCTGAATGATTTAATGGGCCTTTGGCAAAGATCTTCATTTAAGTGCAGGGACAACTGGTAAGGTCTCTTTAACAGTGAGCACCTCTATTTTTTTTCATAGTATATTCCCCTTTATTTTGACAGTAAATATGTGGATATCAATCTGTTCTGCCTCTACTGCATGCTAAGAGTCATTAAATACTCAAGCAGTTTGAACTGACAATTGGTTTTTGCATGACAGAAATATAATATTCCTCCAAATATGATGTTCCTTCTTAAGCATGATTCTGTCTAGTTTTCCAAAGCATATATTTGAGCATCTTCAAGCAATTCCCAAACCCACTTCTTACAAATGTAGTAATCTGCATAATAGAATATAATACTAAATGCACATGTTCTGGAGTTGACATCTTGTGGACATAAAAAAGTAATATTGTGCTCTATAGCTGAAATTAGTCTGTCCAACTGTCAGCAGCAAAGCATGGCCTTGAGTTCCTAGTTATGTGCTTTGAGATGGATTTTCAGAAGGGAACAATAATCTTGCAGTTAAGACACCGGACTGGAAGTATGAAGAATCGGGTTCTAGCCACAGACTCCTTCTATGCCCTTTAAGTCCCTTAAAATCTCTGAGCCTCAGTTCTTTAGTAGTACAGTAAGGATAACCCTGTCTAGCTTGTCTGTTGAGACACTATCTAGGCCAAGGAAGGCCATTTGCTTTTAGACTCTGTGTTTAAACTGACTTGTGCTATGGGGCCATATTGTGCTAGTGTGCAGAAGGGGTAGGAGTTGGGTACAAGAGGTCATCAGGTTGCTACTGGTAGATTTCCAGTCTCTGCAGTAACTGGCTGAGTTGTAAACATATTGCAGGGAGGCGCTTGGCCTTCGGCCCAGGTGCTCAGCACAGTTTCCAGAAGTAGGATGGATGGTGACTAATGGGAAAAAGTGGCAGACAAAGGTGTTTTTAATGAGAATGGTCAGCTGGTTTTGGCTAGAAGGCAGGCTAAATAATGGCCCTAAGTAGCAGTGAACCTTGTTTTTTAAAAGTATATTCTACATTGCTTTGTCTCTAGGTCCTTTCCTCTACACTCTTCTCCCCACCCCCTCCTCCTCCATGGGAACCCATCACTTACTGCTTCACTCTCCTTAAGGTGCTTTGCTTTATGAATCTTGGCCCAGTTTGTATGAAAAAATATCACTTGGATTCCATTTTTATCTACTTTGTTCCGCTATTCTTCCTGAGTCAATACAAGTCAGGATAGTTTGGAAGTGATCCACACAGCTTGCTTTAAACCAGGTACAAGAATAATCCTAACTTGGTGAAACCAAAGATACATGGACATTTATTAAAATATTTTTAGTGATATATTAAAAAGCTAATCTGTTTGGCCTGTCCAGGTAAAAACCCAACATAACCTAATTTCTTGACACTGAAAAAATGGTCTGGTGGAGACCATACAGGAGAATAATTTCTACTACTACTTCTTTGTAGTCATACTAGTAGTACCATGGAAATTAGTCTCACATGTAGTTTTTCATATTTCAAGCTTTCACCAGCCACAAAGGAGTACAGAGGTAGGCTAAAAAATGTAAATAAAAATAGAATTTTTGGATGTTGGTGTTTTTAAAGAATTTGTTTCTCCTCTTAACTGGTCCCAGCTGGCTTTCCCATTCCTACAAATGATTTCCTTTCTAATAGAATGCTTTTTACCATCATTGTTGACTCCAAGCAGGA